TCAGCCGCAGTTTCTTCTTTCTCTGGTAGAAAGCTGCGGGGTTAAGGAGGAGCATGTCTACTGGAGTGGCCTGTCCTAGAGCCTGGTGTGTAAGGAGCTGGTTGTCCGATAGCGGTAGCTCCCTTTGGAAGGAAGCAGTCCTGCCCACATTGTGAGGTGTAAATACAGTGAGATCTTTGTGTAAGGTCAGCTTGGATGCCTCTGGTATCCGGAGAGCCAGGGTAGCCATAGCACTAAGGCACACAGGCTCTCTCCCTGCTGCAATGTCTACTTCACAACTGAGGTACCTTTCAGCAGGCTCAGTCCTGCGTAAGCTCTCCCAAAGCCATGTCCCGCCATTCATCAACTAGGGACTGAAACAGTGTCCTGCTGGGGCTCCCCTGGGGCCTTTAGAAGCACCTATGCAAGGTCCTGGAATGCAGCTTGGGAATCAGGTTCCCGGGTTAAAGTATGGGCATCTGCCTTTTGGGCTTCCTTTGTCAGCTGATAGAGGGGTCACATGATCTCACCATACCCTGCCATCCAAAGGTGACAGAAGCCTGTGATTTCTAGGAATCCCCTTAGCTGCTTTTAGAGTCCTGGACTGTGGGAAGGAAAGTATTGTTTTAATTTTCTCTTCCCTCAGGCTTTGAGTTCCCTTAGATATGATAAGGCCCAAGTATTTTACCTCAAGGCTGCAAAGTTGTGCCTTAGACCTAGAGACCTTATAACCTCTGTCTACTAGAAAATTCGACAGAGCACGGTGCCCTGGCTGGAGAGCTCTTCTGAGCGGCATACAACAGTATGTCATCTGCATACTGCAGGACTGTGACTTGGGAAAACTCATAACATGCCAAGCTGTGGGGAAGACTTGTCCAAAAAGACAAGGACTGTCTTTGAAGCCTTGAGGGGCCTGGTTCAAAGGCAAAAAGAACCTGGGAACCTGCATGGAAAGGAATACGAAAGAAGACAGCTTTTAAATCTAACACTGAAAGCCAACTGGCATCTTCTGGGGTCTGAGAGAGGAGAGTGTATGGTTAGGGCCCCCGGGGTGAATGGGCGCTCCTGCCTCAGTCAATCTAAGGTCCTCCACCAACCTCCACTCCCCGGTGGGTCTGTGAACTCCCAAGACTGGGATGTTGTGAGCACTACCACAATGTCTGAGTAGACTTCATGCCCTTAGGTTACTATTGTTATTCTTTGGTACCAGGAATTGAACTCACAACCTCGAGCTTGCCAGGTAGGCACTTATGCCACTGAGCTAAATTCCCTGGGCCCCTTAAATTATTAATTACTGGCCTAAATCCCTTTTTAACCTCAGGCCATACAGGGTATTGTCTCTGGTGAGGGAAAACCGTAGGAGCCTTGGGTGAATTTGCACCAGGGCAGCTCCTACTGCTCTTCTTCTGCTGATCTGCCTTAGCTGCCCGCACTTCAGGAGGGCCTGACCTGCCTGCACACACAGCACAGTGTTCAAACAAGACAAGACGTCTCTCCCTAGGAGAGGAACTGGACTTTCGGGTGTAATTAGAAAGGACTGTGTAAAAAGAAAGCCATCCCGGCGGTTACGGCCTAAGGCTCACAAGGGACAGTGAGTTAGCTCCTCTCCAGTGACTCCTTTCACCAAGTACGACAGCAGGAGGGAGGGGCAGGGTTGAAGAGAAGGACCGAGAGACCTGGGCCAGTGCCCAGCCATAGGCTGGTTTCTTCTCCGTGTAGTCTTGGTTACCTGAGGCTCCTCTATGGAGAGTCACAGTGCTCACAAGGGCGCACGCCCCAGGCTCCTTCAGTCTTGCTGGACCAGCTGCTAGGATGCTCCTGAGCCCTCAGGCCCCCGCGTCAGGGGCAGTCCAGCTTCCAGTGGTCAGTGCTGCCGTCAGGGCATGGAGCAGGGGGCCTCCTACTGCCTCCTTCCTGAGGGGGCCTCGCTGTCTGCGGCAGCAGCAGGTGAGTGCAGTCTTCGAGCTCTTTTTGGAGCCCACCAATCAGACTTAGGGCGCGCTCCTTTCGAGGCCCCAACCAAGGCAGCCACCTTCTCTGGGTCTTTTGTTTTTATTCCCTTGCTCCCTCCTGGTCTTGATTATAAAATACTGAGGAGGCGATTCTCACTGAAATGTGACGTAAGTTGCCTCAAGCACAAGCCAGCTTTTGTAGTTTTTTCCTAATATCTGAGGCCCACTGGGGACTTGTCTTTAAGACTTGTCCTTCTAGGGGGCTGGGGATTTAGCTCAGCGGCATAAGCACCTGCTTTGCAAGCAGGCGGCTGTGAGTTCAATCCCCGGGACCAATAAAAAAGGAAAAAGCCAAAAAAAAGACTTGTCCTTCTAGCGAATCAGGAGCCAGGGATGTATCTTTCATCAATGCCTCTTATAAAGCATCTGGGAAGACAGAGAGGCTCTCACCCATCTCTTGATGAATTGTTGACAATTTGAAATGATGAATGAGTTAGTTCTCACCCTTCTTACACCTTCAAGAATACTTGTCTGAAGATGTCTCCTAGTCTGGTTTCCCACCTGGTTGTCCCCTTAAGCACTGTGCTTAAGGAAATCCTCTTTCTGGTCTCACAGAGGTGTCGGTTCTCTCCACCAGGTCTCGGGTTTAGTTTCCCACACCCGGGAGACTGTGCCCTATACTAAGCTGGGACATGGCTTTCATGAGTGTTCTCCTGGACAGCAAAATTGTGAAGTCTCACCTGACCCAGAGATGGGATACATGGCCCTCATTTAAGATGATTTCCCTGTCTTCAGCGTTAGCAAACACTAATCACCTACAGACTCAATTTAAAAGTTTTTTGTTGTCACATAGGAGGGCGAGGTTGAGTCTCTCCCACTTTAATCTTTGGCAGAACTATGTGTCCAGAAAGAAAGTACAAAGCGACAGGAAAATGCCAGAAACGAGATCAGAAAACAGAAGTCCTTTCTTCTCACGCTCACGGTGAGCTATGGAGAAAACCTGCCCATGAGTCGTCACCCTCAGCCTGGAAAGGTGGAAGTGGGGAATCTCGAGAGGGAAGATTGCCTCCCCACCAGTGGAAGATCAGAGCAGAAAGGAAACTGAGGCACAGCAGGCCCGACATTCCCTCTAGCGTGTGGAGGGGGTTGGGCCTGTCTGCCCCTGTGAACCGCGTCCTCTGTGTCTTGAGAACTGCTGTAGGCCTAGTGCCTTTTAACTGGCAGAGTCCTGTGATTTATTGATAGACACATATATTTCCCAATTATAAACTAGATATCATAAAAAGACCCATTTTACAGCATTTCATGTCAAAGCCCACGAGGGAACACTGTAGCATTAGTTTCTCCTAATGCTGTTGTCTAACAAGCAAGCAAGGAGCACCACCAAATTTAATGACTAGGAAGCCCAGATGTGGCACATGCAAAATAGGAATATAAGGCCTTGCCTGCAAAAGTAAAACGTCTCATCAAAGGAATGTCATGATCTTTCCAAGTTCTTGAGTGAAGGTTATCAACATTTTAATGAAAACAGTGCATAAAAAACAAGGCACCAAATTCAAGGCAGGAACAATTGACAAATAAGGATGACAATTTTTTTTTTACATGCTTGAAATTTTATTGGTTGCGTTTGAGGTTTGGTACAGACATTTCACTTTGTACACAATTTTTTTGAGACTGCTATGTAGCACAGGCTGGCCCTGAGCGCTTATGGACCCCAGGCTGGCCTTGAACTCCCAGTGATCCTCCTGCCTCAGCTTCCAGAGTGCTAGGATTACAGACATGTGCCACCATACTCAGCTTGTACACAATTCTTAACACATATCAAAATTCGAAAAAGCTAGTTTCTTTTTCTTTTTCAATTATTCCAGTGACTTTCCAGCTTCAACTATGGAGCCAAATTTTCTGTAAGAGGATTAAGTACCAGTATCTTCAAACATTGTTAAAGTGTTAGTTAAGTCCCAGTGAATTCACAACTTCATATCCTATATACTATGTACTCAAATATTTTATTTTTCACAGAACATTAACAAAATTAGGCAAACTGGCCCACCACAATTAAAGATGTTACAAAGTACACATGATTCAGACAGGGCAATGATTAGGAAGTATTTTTGTGTGTGTGGTATTGGGGATCAAACTCAGTTTTGCGCTTGCCAGGCAGGTGCTCACACCACCGAGCTAAATCCCTGACCCAGTAAGTAGTTTTTTAGAAAACAGTTCTATTAAAAACAACAGGAGAATAGAAGTCAGTTAAAATATCCAAGAAAAAAGTAAAAAATAAAAAATAAAATATCCAAGACATATTAAATGCATGACTATGATTCCAAATTGCCATTTAGTGTGCTTTGTATTGTAAGATATAAAAGTAACCCCCGTTTGTGGAATGTTAAGCTGACACCCAAGATAGCCAAAGCCTGCTGTAATTTATTATCCCACTACTCTCTGGTTGTAACTGTTATGGTGTGTGTTTTGATGCAACCCCCCCAAGCCTCATGCAATCATGGATGCGGCTAAATCTAGCATCTGTGTTTGGTTTGTGCCTCGCACTGGGATTGGCAGTGTGAGTGCTGCACCCACACCGGGGCAGAGCCGACACAGGGTGAGGGGGGAAGAAGGCTGTGTTTTCTCTTTTGCTCTGTTCACTCTTGCTGTGTGCAGTGGCCACAAACGGTAGTCCCACCATGCCATCCTGCCTTGGAGCCAGCTGAGTATGGACTGCAACCTCCAAGAATTGTAAGAAATAAATCTTCTTTTGCTTCACTTTGGGTGTCAGGTATTTTGTCTCAACAACGAGAGAAAAGTAACTCAGACAGTACCAGAAAAATAAACAACCAGCAAATGATTTCACTTCAATAAAAATTATTTACACTTAAAAAACGCAATGAGGTGGGATTCCTTCTTCTTCTTCTTTTTTTTTTTTTTTTTTCCTTTTTCCTTCTTATCAGTACCGGGGATCGAACTCACGACAAGGCAGGCGCTTATGCCGCTGAGCTAAATCCCCAGCCCCAAGGGATTCCTTCCTTTTAAAAAAATGTTTCTAGGGCTGGGGATTTAGCTCAGTGGCATAAGTGCCTGCCTTGCAAGCAGGCAGTCCTGAGTTCGATCCCCGGTACCGATAAAAAAAAAAAAAAGAAGAAGAAAAAGAAAAAAAAAAAAAAGAAAGAAAAAAAATGTTTCTAGAGCTATTTAAAAAACTTGCATTTACAAAATCGTTGATAAAAATATTCCTCCGGATTGCACAAGAAGGGGGATGGGGACCTGAGGAACGCGGTGTGTGGTCATCAGACTCGGCTGCTTTCTCTTCTGTGTCGCCCGAGGCTGCTCTCTCCTGCTCCGTTTCTCTGCTCTCAGGTAAACCTCCCCTGGCTTTTTGCTCAGCCACTTCACCCTGTTTCCTCCGCTCCCCTTTTCCTTTTTGCTTGCACTTTTTCGTCCAAAGATTTGTCCTTCCCTGCTGCCTTTTTGGGCTTCGTTCCCACTTCTGCAGGAGCAGGCTTAGCCGACAGCCCTGCTGACCTCTTGGGTTCCTCTTTTGCTGCCCCGTTAGCCGAGCTGACCCGCCCCTTAGGCCTCTTGGTGCACAGGGCCTGCGGAAGTGGAGGGTCGTGCACACGGGAGCCTTGTGGAGCTGTGCTGCTCAGCCGCTGCCGCTCCTCCAGCCCCTGCCGCTCCTCCAGCCCCCAGAGCTGCTCAAGGATGACAATTTTTGATTACCTAAAGGATTCACAATCCAGAATTCATGAAACAAAAGCAAACTTTTCTAACTTCTTCCAATTATCTTGGTGGGATCTCCAAAGATGATATAGGACCTCCAAATGATATAGGGAATTATGTATAACTTCCATCCTGCTAGATATCTGATACACCAAGTTTGTGTTCCTCAAAAACTGAAAAATGAATTCTGAAGAATAATGTAGGTTAACAGTGGGAAATTTCCAGCCCTCAGGAGGCCGAGGTAGGAGGGTTGCCATGAGTTCAAGGCCAGCCTGGGATACATAATGAGCTCAAGGCCAGCCTGAACTACACAGTAAGATATTATGTCACACAGACACACAGACACACACACACAAAAGAAAAGAGTAAGAAACTTTGTTGAGGGAAAGACAGCTCCTGAGAGAGACAGGAACCCTGAAAATGGATTGCCAATGAACGTACTTCTCAAAGGAATTTTTATAGAGCAAAATCATGATGTGGGTATAACATGAGAAAAAACTATGGTCAACCAATAAGATTAGAAGTATAGCCACTTGCACTGGGGATTTAGCTCAGTGGCATAGCACCTGTCTTGCAAGTGCAAGGTCCTGAGTTCAATTCCTGGTACCAAAAAAAAAAAAAAAAAAAAAAAAAAAGGATAGCGCCTTACGAAATGTTTTTCCACTTTGGTAATGTTGACCCAATGGGGAGCCAAGTCATAAGGCTCAATCGGACGTGACTTTCCCAGGACCCCGTCTGCTTGCCAAGACAGACATTGTTCTCAACAGAGACTCAACTCAGCATGGAGACTGTCTTCAACAAACACAGGATGTTGTAAAAGAGATTAAGATGGGGAAGGAGTCTTGGCATCCCCAGACATCTGCAGGTACCCGAAAATTTACACTGGATGCCAAAGGACTTTGCCCCTGAGGTGCAAGGCAGTCAGAGAACCTGGCAACTGATGTCTGTTAACATCTTCCTGCCTAATGCTCCTCATCTGCTGTCAACCTTTGTGAAAAGTGCCCGCTTCTCTTTGTCCCCTACAGACGGCCTTATCACCCTCTGTCTGCCTGCACTAGGTATCAAACCTACGCTTGGTTGCTTTCAAAAAGCCTGTTGAGTGGTCTCTGTCTCATGTCATTTGTTCCTTACGTAAGTCGCGGAGCAGGTATCCATGGAAAAGGGAGAACTTTTTTTGGAAGAGCTGAGTCAGGAGGTCCTAGTCCCCTCCCTGGGTGACTGAAGCCTGTGTAGAATACTAATTATACAGTATGGTTTAGCCCTCCAGTGGGTATGTAGGTGTAGTCATTCCATAGTCATCTTGAGGCTTGGCCGTCAACGAATGCACCTCCTGCTACAGTTGTAATGTGTTCTCGTCTTCTGCACCGGCTTCTTTGAGGGCCTGGCTGCCTAAGATAGTTTTACCTAACTCAGTTGTCTATAGTGTGATTAGATCAGCTATGTGCTATCCCGGAGCAGCCAGTCTCTCAGAGAACTTACATCTTTGGTGCAGTTGTTGGCAAGAAGGATGGGTGGCAGTGACTGTGTAAGACTAATGGAGATGGAGCCTGGGTGTGGTGGGAACAGCTGCTCTGCTGGATTTGAGGGGAATGCGAGAGGGTGGTTCCTTGGAATGGGAAAGGAGGAAAAGGTGGCAGTTGCTGGAGAGGTTTAAAAGTTAGTTTGAAGTGGTGCATGCCTGTAAGCATATCACTTGGGAGGCTGAGGCAGGAGGATCACTGCACATTTGAGGCCAGCCTGAGCTACAAAGTGAGTTCAAGGTAGCCTGAACTGCTTAGTGAAATCCTGTCTCAAGCTGGGCATGGTGGTATACTCCTGTAATCACAGCATTCAGGAGGCTGAAGCAGGAGGGTTATTGCAAATTCGAGGCCAGCCTGGGGTACAAAGTGAGCCCAAGAGCAGTCTGAACTGTATAGTGAGACCTTGACTCAAAAAGACAAAGCAAAAACAAACAAAGAAAAAAAAACTCCCAGTCATTCTGAGTAATTTCAGATTGGTTCTGATCACCCCCAATCCAGCCGCTCTGCCCCCCACCCCACCCCCCGCACCACCTACTGCGCAGCTGCAGAGCCCTGCCAGGCGGTCGGTGGATGTTCCTAAACCAGCCTGTGCTTCGCAGTGTGCACCCAGAAGACAGAGGGAGCCGGTTCTTCTAAGGCCTATTTTTAACAGTCTCTGAACTGAACTCAACTTAATCATCTTTGCTTCGATGACACTTGAAATATGTGAGTCACACGCGCCAGGCTGAGGGCTGGTGCGGTGCTTTAAATATCAGGCGCGGTAGAGACCAGTGTGGCAAGAGCCCCTCAGGCCGGGGACTGTGGGCTCGCTCAGAACTGTGACAAAGTGTGGGGCTCTAGAGACAGGTTCAAATCCTGTCTGCACTCTCTCCCCCGAGCTTCAGTTCCCTCACTGGAGGAAGAACTTGACTCGGGACTGGATATAATCTATACCACTTTGTGTGTGTATGCATGTCTTCTTGCAGAAACATGTATTTGATTTAAACACCTATACCTGAAATATTGTCACACTAACTTGCCTCATGGTTACAACATGACTGCCAGCAACACTGGGGCCCCAACATGTTCCCTTGTGCACCAGATTACCATTCTAAAGTCAAAAATATAGTTAAGTTCCAAAATGCATCTTGTGGTGGGGTGTGGTGATGCACACCTGTAATCCTAGGACTAGGGAGGCTGAGGCAAGAGGATCTCCATGAGTTCAAGGCCAGCCTGGGCTACACAGTGAACTGGAGGTCAGCCTAATTACAGAGTGAGATGCTGTCTCAAAACAACAACAAATAAACAAAAGAAAAAATACAAAATATATGTCGTGACAAGAATTTTAGGGACAAGAAAGAGGAGACCCTTAGCGTGGTTGAGTTACAATTCATTCGCTATTAGTCACACTTGACTTTGATCAGACTGGGGTCCCTGTCAGGTGCCTGCATGGGAAAGGGGGATGGTTTTAAAAAATGACAGATGCACACTTATAATCCCAGCAGCACTCAGGCGGCTGAAGCAGGAGGAGCACTGCAAGTTGGAGGCCAGCCTAGGCTACAAAGAGAGCACAAGGCCAGCCCGGAGTGCATGGGGAGACACCATCCCTAAATAAATAAATAAGCTGGGGATATAGCTTAGTGGCATAAGTGCCTCCCTGTCAAGCAAGAAGTCCCAAGTTTGATTCCTCGTACAGAAAATAAAATTAAATAAATGATAGGCCTATTCCTGGACACTGGTGAAGTTATTTTTCTCATAGATGGTTTCCCTCTTTTGCATCGTGGGCTGTTAGCTGAGTGTCAAGTCTGACGCTCAGCTGTGGTGAGTGGGTGGGGAGGAAGGAGCATGGTGAGTCACAAAGTTACAGTGTCACCTGGGTCCCCCCACCCCAAGCATGGCCAGCCTGGTAGAGGTCCCAGGGTGGCGCGGGAGCACATCGCCCCGTGCCCTCCAGAGGGCGCTGACAAGGTCTTCCTTGGAGACCGCTGCCCCTGTCTGTGCGGTCACAAAGCTGCGCGTTCCGGGGTCCGAGGCCACCACGCCCGAACCGGAGCTGAGTAGCAGCAGGCGTCCTGCAGGCGTAGTGGGACCTGTGCGTGGCCCTGGGACCCGCGCAGCCGCCCGTGGGTAAGTTCCCGGCCTGCTGCTCCACAGCGCCCCCTGCTGGGCAAAAGCAAAGGTGTGGCGGCTGCCCAGAGCCTGCGAAACCCATGCTCCTCCCCTAGATGAATCACTAAGTGACAGTGTGTAAAATAGCTCCAGAGAGCCCAATAGATTTCCATTTTCCTTCCATAACGTCGTCTAATGGAAATGAGTTGTGAGCCGGGGATATAGCTCAATGGCATAAGTTCCTGCCTGGCAACCGCTAGGTCCTGAGTTCGATCCCTGGTATGGAAAAAAAAAAACAGAAAAAAACTGCGTTGTGTAAGTTTGCCCTCCTACTTGGCTGGGGCCCCAAACACATGCTCAATTCCATCAGCGAGGCCCACATAGCTACCTGATCCAGGGTCCCTGCAGAGCCTTTCAGGGACTTACAGTGCAGAAGTCTAGGAGGAACCAGCTCTCCCCTGCCCCACCCCCGCCAGCTAATTAAGTCCGAGCCGCTAGATATAACCTCAGCACTCAGGCTGAATCTGCCAAGAGCTTATCTGTACCCAGGACTGGGGCACTGGAGTGGACAGATTGGGGTGCAGGAAGTGGAATGCACTTACCAGTGTCCCCTGACTCGGACTCCGACTTCTCACCATTTTCTCTTGCCCATATTGCACCCCAAAAGTGTCTATATTCACCCCAGGAATTGCAAACCCAAATTCCTGCTCTGCTAGTTACAGGAAATGTGGGAAGCCGGAGCAGTGGTTGAACAGTAGGGTACACTAGGGCCTGCAGCCAGGAAAGAGTGCATTCCTGTTTCAAAACAGTGTAAGAAGCTGGGTGTGGTGCACACATGTAATCCCAGCACTCAGGAGGCTGAGGCAGGATAGTTGCACGTTTGAAGTCAACTGGAGCTACACAGTGAGTCCAAAGCCAGCTTGGACTATATGGTGAAATCTCTTTTTTGTTTGTTTGTTTTTGGTACTGGCGATTGAACTCACAACCTAGTGCTTGTCAGGCAAGCGCTTGTGCCACTGAGCTAAACCTCCAGCCCCGGTGAAATCTTATGCAGGATCCTATGTAGATCCTTTGTAGGATCTCAGGGGTAAAAAAAATCAAAATAAGCCTAGGGATAGGTACTTCCAGCCATGACGAATTGGCAAACAATGTCAACAAGGACCTAGTATTTCCCCCATCTTTCCTCTTTGCATTCCTCAGCATGCAATATTTCTTCTCATGGTTATGGGATGCTTACCACAGCTCCATCTTGCACAATAATCCCCAAAAGTACTAAAAGGGGAATTTGGGTAGAGGTCTCCTCTTGTCTCATTGGTAGGAGCTAGGTCACGTGGCCATTCTTTGACCAATTATTGACAAAGAGAAATGGCATTACCCTGATTAGCGGGAACCAATCACAATTCATCTTTTGTGACTGGTATGGGAACAAAATTGGAATTGAAGGAAGGAAAGAAGGAAGGAAGGAAGGAAGGAAGGAAGGAAGGAAGGAAAGAAAGAAGGAAGGAAGGAAGAAGAAAGTTAACTCTGGCCAGGAGAGGCGGGTGAGCTGTTGTAACAAATCAGTCCCCACATGTCACTAGCATAATAGAACAGAAATTGTGTTTTCACTTATATAATAGTCTGATGAGGGTGTTCACGGCTGGCAGATGACTTCTTTCACAAGTTGAGGTGGGAACCTGTTTTACGGCTGACTCCTGCAAGTGTCAGCAGGGGAAGAAGGGCTGGAAACGTCACATCCATTTTTAAATCACAACCCAGGATCACACATTTGCGCTCTGCTCCCGCTGCACCGTGAGAATTTATCTGGCGGTCCTTCCTGGATGCTGAACTGCTGGGAACTGCAGGTCCTGGCTGGGCAGCTACCTCAAGCAACAGCTCTGCCCAGGAGGAGGCGGCCGCTGGGGAGGAAATGAGCAGATCTCTTTGAGGCCCGTCTCAGAACATCTTTGCCTTTATGGTTCAGTCGTTTCCAGATCTCTTTGCCGTCCACACTAGACCACACGTCGTTTTTTGAATTCTCTCTTACTTCTTAACCTTTGCCCAACTCTCTGCTGAGAATTTTTTCTCCAGTTTTCATCTGCGTGGTGAACTCCCATTCATCCTTCAAAACCCAAACTCATCTCTTTCGAGGCGACTTTTGCACTGTATTACGGTGGGCTGCCTTGGTAAGTCCTTGAAGGCTACTCACCACCGAATTCCCTACAATATTTAGCACACACTAGAGCTCAGTTTTGGTGCTAAATTTAAGTACTCCAGGCAGGAGAGTTCATTTGGATAAAAGAGACCGGAAACTCAGATTTAATGGAATATAGTGATTCATATAATCGAATACAATCCAGAGATATCTTCAGGCTTTGCTAGATACAGGAGTTTACACGTTTTCAAGATTCAGTCTTTCAACATATAAGCTTTATTTTTGGGTCCCTGCTGAGGCAAGACTGCTTTCATTACTCCTCATTTTCCTCAGCTGGTTTATGGGGAGCAGGAAGCCAAAGCTCTCTCTCCACAGTGTCCAAGCTTGAATTCTTCTTTTCAGGCGCTGGGATTAGCTAGGGTCGTGAGGCATCCCTGAAGGGACCTCAAACCAGGGGCTGGATTACGCAGATTGGGCAGGGGTTAGGCACCCTGATTGGCCCATCCAGGATTGCATGCTCCAGTCTTGAAACTAGTGGAGTATAGTCAACTTCAGGACAGAAACAAAATGAGCTTTGGGAGGCTGAGGCAGTAGGGTTGAAATTCGAGTGCTGATTGGAGAATTTAGTCTGATGGTATCTCAAGGCAAAAAATAAAAAGTTAGGAGTGGTGGTGCATGCTTTAATCCCAGCACTTGGAAGGCTGAGGCTGAGAAAAACATAAAAGGTCAGGGAATACAGTTTCATTTAAAAGTCTTGGATTTAGTCAGGTGTGGTGGCACACATCTGTAATCCCACCCATTAGGAGACTGAGTCAGGAGGATCACATGAGTATGAGACCAGCCTGGGCTATGTAATGAGTTGGAGTGCACTCTGAACTAAACAGGGAGACCCTGTCTAGAAAAAACAAAGACAAAATCTTGGGTTCAGTCCCCACTACCGGGGAGAAAAGAGTTTATGGGGAGGGAGGACGAGCTCCCCACAAGTAATTGGGGCATTACTACCAGGAGATCAGTGCTGGAGGCCCCCAAACCCTGGGAAACATTGGTTACACTAGGCCTTGATGTTAGGAGATAATCCACATCACACCAGCCGCTGTGTGCTGAGCACTTGCTATGTGCAAGGCACAGTGCCTGCTACACAGTGAATGACCAGAAGATGGCTTCTAGAATTTCCCCCAATTAGCAGCTGAGGCCAAATGACTTGTCCAAGGTTGACAAGTGGCTCTGGAGGAATCTGAACTGAGACCTGATGATGGACACAAGCCCCTACCTGGCAGGCTCCTCCCCCAGGGACTTCTCCAGGAACCCAGACCCTGAAGTGTGGACAAGGGTGGGGCACAGTGGGTCTCAACAGCCCCAAAGGTCTTCTGCATGAGACCCTCCTCCTGCGTACCTGTCAGTTGGAGGAGGTTCAAGTTAGGACCCGACAAATTGTCTCTTAGTGCCACAGGCTCCTGCTCTACAACTAGGACCAGTGTTCCACCTGAAGCTGCAGCTGAGGTTGGGCACAGTGTACTTTAACCCATCAGAGGACACTATGCCTGGATGCCATGCTGCCCCCTCTCCTTTGGGAACACGGGAGCAGGAGGGTTAGTGACACACTGGAACCATCTGCCTAGCTCCTAATAATAAATTGTGAGAGGAACAAGTTCCAGGCAAACACTGCTTTGAGGGGGGGCTCTCCCCTTAGCCGGGCCACCATCTGCCAGGTCCTTGTCATGTGCCAAGCTGTGGGTGGAGGAAGGGACTCGACAACGGCGGGAATGGGGGAGGTGCAGCCGGGCTCACGGTCCTCTTCCTTTTGCTGCTGAGGACAGGACATTGCAAAGAGAGAGAGGCGCCCTCGCTGGCTTTGATCTCCCTGGGTCCCTGAACAGAGGACAAGCTCCATTCCTTCAAGATGCCAACAGTAAGTAATGACACTGTGTAAGTAAAGGCACTGTGCTGTCCTCCTCCCCTGTATCAGCTCATCAGACTTCTATCACATATCCGCGTGTGCCCACTTTAGAGACAGAAGGTTGAAGGCTCAGAGACGTTCATTATCTTGTACAAGAGGGCAGAGCCAGGTCTTGAACCCAGGCTCCCAGAGAACACCCTCTCCCCCATATGGCCAGGTGCCCCTTCAGATGCAACAGTGAGGCAACACACCAGCGGCTGATGTCACCCGGGTTGGGCTTTCACCTCCAGTCCCACCCAGGCTGTCCTCCACCCTCCCCCACTATGCAGCTTTTCAATGATTCCTAGCTCTGATTCCTAGCTCTCTGTTGTCTCCCCCAGTCAAAGAAGAACCGGAGGAGAGACTCCGAGACGCCCCCGGAACCTTCGGAGAAGGTCAAGGAGCAGCAGGCCGAAGCCGAGCTCTGCAAACTTAGGCAGCAGTTCCGAAAGATGGTGGAGAGCCGGAAGTCCTTCAACTTCCTCAGCCAGCGGAAGCTCGCTAGCCAGGGGTGAGGGAGAGTGGGGGTTTGCACCCAGGGGCCAAGGAGGACAGCTAAGGTTCGCTTTTATGGTCTCTACCTTCTCCCCCGGTGGTTGCTGGGGCCGTATCCCGTTCTGAGTCCAGTCAGGGGACCCGTGGTCTTTTCAACAAAGACACTGGTAAAGAGAGAACCCCACTTGCTGTGGCCACGGTGAGAGGGAGGCGTGTTTACTAGGGTGTCTGGGGCCACTGGCAGCAGGACACTCACATCTCAAGGGTAATCAATCCCTCAAGGAAGAACCATTTCTGGTTCCTTTTTCTCTTTACACATGAACTTTACCATGTCTCTAAAGTTTCAGCCCTAGCTGTCCTCAAATCTTGAGTTTGCCAGTGACCAAGGGCCAGGCAGAGACTGTTTCAATGACTTCAGCCCCAGAGTCTCAGGAGAGGTAGAATCTGATTGGCTCAGTTTGGGTTCTAGTGTCTACTGCTGGTCCAATCAGCTGCATAATGGGCGGTGCGCGATGACTCAACATGGGCGTGGCTATCCCTGCCCCAATCTAGCAGGAAGCAGCAGGGTCCTCCAGTCAGGGCTGTAATTCTCAAAAGCGTTTCCTCCTCGTGTGTCCTTACGGCAACTGCAAGATAGACTGTTTGAAACTGGGTTGCCCTAGAAACGACAATGTGTACATTTCTCTGGGCAATAGAAAGGTGTTCGTTCCCTTGAGCTGCATAAACGAACAGTAAATAACATTATTTGATTCTCCCTAGAGAATGTAATTCTTTAGCTATATCCATGATTATAATGGCAGAAAGTGTCCATCATTAAAAAGAAAATCTTACTGCCAAATGATGCATGAAGCTCAGAGAATGGAGAAGAATTCTCTAGATTTTTCATGGATTCATTTACCAGGGCCAGGACTACCCCTATGGGACATTTGTGGGAATTTTTTAAAGGAATCTTTTCTCAAGACTCTTTACTGTCATCCAGGAAAATGGTCATTATGTAGGGATTGTATCTGAACAAGGAAAAATGTGTCCTAGGAAAGACTAAGAGAGAGGCTTTGTCGATGCCCCCTAGGGCTGTGCAGGTTACAATGGGCACTTCTGGCCTGGCTACCCTGATTCTCAGGAAATCCCTCCTTTCTGGTGTGTCAGTACTTTGATCTGGTTTCACTTTGATGGCAGTGAAGGGGAAGAGTGTGAAAGAGTAGAGTTTAGGTTCTTTAAAGGTTCAGAATCAGGCGAGATGCCTGGGGCACAATATTTAAGGAAGCGTTTCTCCAGCATTGACCTGCATTACATCACCCTGAGAGTGGGCACCTCCTTAAATTCTGGGGTGTCTTACCACCCTGACCCAGTCTCAGCTCTGCCTATGAGACACACAAACCCTCTTGCTTTAACCTCCCTCTCCTGCCAGCCCCAGGTCCACCTCTGGCTAGCTGCTGGGTTTTGTAAATAAAGTTTCATTGGCACATAGCTATGCCTATTTGCCCATGCATTGCCTGTGGTTCCTTTCACACTGCACGGAGAGGTAAGGGATTGCAGTCAGCACTGTGTAGCCCCCAAAACTCCAAAACTCCAAATGCCTATACATCAGCCTTTTTTTTTTTTAAATTTTGAAAGTATACAACAGAACAAGTCAGAATAAAGCCAACTAAGATGATACAGTGAAATTGGTACAGAACTTCACAGCAGGTTACCGGGATAACAGTAATAGGTATCACAGTAGATTTTGTTATCTTTATAATAATAGTTCTTTCAATCACGTATATCAAAATGAGATGAAATATAGAACACTATAGAACTTATCAAAACAGAATATTGAATAGAGCAGTACCATTAATCAGAAAAGAGCAAAACAGTAATAAAAATATTTGCCTTCAAAGAAATGGTAGGGGCTGGGGATTTAGCTCAGCGGCATAAGCGCCTGCCTTGTAAGCTCACAGTCGTGAGTTCGATCCCTGGTACGGATTAAAAAAAAAAAAAAAGATTCTTCCTCCAAAGAAATGGTAGAAGGAAGTCCCCCTTATTTGCTATGCTCAACCTCCCAGGAGATGTTCAGATTTCTGGTTCCCATTTGCTAATGGCGGGGGGGGGGGGGGAGGCGGAGAAGGAGGATCAGGGAAATGAGATATTTGACTCTAGGCCATGTAGCAGTAGGTTCACTATTGCTAAGCAGGGAGGCAGGATGGTCATTTGTTTTCACAGCGTCCTCAATTCCAACATGGCGTGGATCTCAGGAGACACTGCTGGTTCTCCCCCTGGAAGTACTGCAGTCTGCCACCCTGCCTCCACTTACCAGGCAGGGGAGGTGCTTGCTTGGCTTCTCAGGGTCCTCAGTTCCAACATGGCGTGGATCTCAGGAGACACTGCTAGTTCTCCCCCTGGAAGGGTTGCAGTCTGCCACCCTGCCTCTGCTTACCAGGGAGGGGAGGTGCTGGCTTGGCTTCCCAAAGTCTACATCAGCCTTTTATAGAGACAGGTTTGCCAGTCTCTGTGCTAGAACATTCTAGAACAGTGCTTCCCATTTATAGCGTGCATATAGAACACTTGAGAGTCTTGTTACAAAGCAGATTCTGCCCTCCTAGGCCCAGGGCTAGGGCCTGAGATTCTGCATTTCTCCAGGCTCTCAAAGGGACACCGAAGCAGTTGGTCAGCAAACCACAGCAGCGGGTGTAGGTACCCAAGCTTTGCCAGGAAGGTGTCTACTGTGCCACTTCCCACTGTTTGGATGCGAATGCTGGACAGTCTCCTAAGCATCCTTTTCCTCTTTGCAGAACCCCGGCCCCATTCAGCCCTCCTCAGCTCTTCTCTAGTAAGGGAAGCAGAGGAGGAGACTCACCCCCTAGCACAGAAGCTGGCAGGGTTCACGGTTATCTTGCATTTCCCATTTCTGTGTTGATGCAAACTTGAAAAGTTCTGCTTGATGGTTTGTCCCTCATTACCAGAGATAATTGGCTGCAAAGTCTGGGAAGACGGTCAGGTCAGCAGTGCCAGTGAGCTGCCGTGGCAGGGAACTCTCCACTTCCAGCTAATGGGTTTGGACAGAAACAGCTGCAAATTATCCCTGGGAAGCAAACGCCCCTCAGAGCAGACAGACCGGGGGAAACCACTGCAACCTGGGGCTCCATCTGGGCTCTAGCCCTGGATCTGGGACCTGCGGCCATCCTCCCTTCACTAGCTGGGTCAAAGTCTGTCCCCCAGGCTTTCTTCAGATCATTTTGGGGTGCAGGACTAATTCTGGGCTGCTTTCCTGACAGTAAGGAAATCCAGACTCTGAAAGCAGAGCAAGACGAGATCACCCTGCTTCTGCATCTCACAAAGTCCACCAAGAACCTGAATCTGAATCAGAAGAACTATTTGGAGCTGCGCTTCCTGTTGCAGGCCAAGGAGGACTACGAGGCACTGATCAAGTCCATGCGGGCACTGCTGGCCGAGTTGGATGAGAAGGTGCGGCCTCCTCCAAGGAGCTCTGCTAAGCGTGGGCCAAGGGGTCAGCACGTACCATGGTGCCTCACAAGGACCTGACACTGTCTGCTGGGGCTTCTCCAGGGAGACCCCCAAATGTTATTGGCCATGGGGCTCTCAGGACTCCCAGCATTGGGGACTCAGATGCTTGATTCCCATGATCCCCTAAAGCTCTAGTACATCTGGAGCCCTAATATAGGGTGGAGGGGGCTGGCAGCAGTGCTACCCGGATGAGAGACCCACCATGGCCCTCTGCTTCCCCAACCTCTCTGCTCAGTGAACTCCTATTCAGCTGTTAGGAGCCAGCCCAAATGCTACTCCTGGAGGTGCCCCACATACCTTGTCAGCCCCTGAGGCTCATTGCCCTTCCATGGTTTGTTCCCAGTGCTAGATTGCAAATTCTCTCAGGCAGGTACCTCAAGGATGTCTCGGTTACCATCAAAGTCCTGCTGTCTGGCACAGAGCAGGTGTTTAATAAACATACATGGATGAGAGAATGAATAAATGGTAAAGGAGGCCATAAAAGTGGAGATGGAAACTTTAAAAAAGAGAGGGACCTGGGTCTTCAGAAGTGTTAGGAAGTCTGGGTGTGATGTGCACACCTGTAATCCCAGCACTCGGGAGGCTGAGGCAGAAGCATCACTGCGAGTTTGAGGCCAGCCTGAGCTGAATGAGCTCAAGTCCAGCTGAACTTGCATAGTGAGGGGTGGGGATTTAGCTCAGTGGCACAAGCACCTGCCTTGCAAGCACGAAGTCATGGGTTCAATCCCCAGTACCGATTTAAAAAAAAAATGTTGAACTTGCATATTGAAACCCTGTCTCAAAAAGACAAAAAAAAAAAAAAAAAAAAAAAAAAGGCCTGAGGAAAAGGCAGCCTAGTTTGGAATCCTTCAAAGGTCATCATGTCCCCTTCCTGAAAAACAGTGCCACCCACCCCAGGGTGGCAGGGTCCAGAACCCTCTGTCCTTGTGCCCACCACACATTAGCAGGTGGGGACGTCACTGGGCCCTGCCTGGCCTCAGGAAATCTTGCTTGGAGACTCCAGCTGTGGCCTGGGACAGTGGCTGCTGTCAGCATGGAGGGGCTGGACTGTGAGCCATGCAGGACCCCTGGGGACGCACTCTTCAGGGAGCAGGGGCTCCCGGGTTCCCAGAATTGCCTGCAGGGCAGGTGACATCACAGTTTCCCATGCCGGGCTTATTTATGGATATTAATGATGAATGTGGCCTCTTTTTTGAGACAGATGTCACTTATGTAGCCCAGGCTGGCCTCAAACTCATGGAAATCCTGCCTCAGCTTCCCCAGTGCTGGGATTTCAGGACTGCAACACCACACTCAGTTGAAACTTTTTTTTCAGTACTAGGATTTGAACTCAGAGCCTCCACACTGAACTACACCCCCCATTCCTTCTCATTTTTTAAAATTTTTTTTTAATTTTGAGACCAGTTTACATTAAATCATTAAACTTCCCAGGCTGGCTGAAACTTTTTTTTTAAATTTTAAAGATAGTAAAATCCAACAAAATAGAACAAAGCCAGTCAAAACAATGCAGCAAAATTGGTGCAGAACTTCAGAGCAGGATGCTAGGAAATCAACAATAGCTACCATAGTAGATCTTGTTATCTTCACAATAGTTTTCCATTCCATCAGGTACAGAAAAATCAAACCAAAAACAAAACAATAAAACCAATCAAAACAGAATGTTGAATAAAGCAAAACAGTGAGAACAATATTGGACTTCAAGCCAGAAGGAAATCCCACGTGTTTGCTATATTGCATACTGTCATCCTCCCAAGAGATGCTCAGACCACTGGCCCCAGGCCTGCAAAATCAACCAGACAACTTCGTAGCTTTATGTACCTTATTGCTACCAACTCAGCCTGTCCTCTGAACCAGTCGGTTGCTTACGGGGGCAGGGAGGAGGCATGGTGTTCGATTCTCAGCCTGCATGCTGGTAGGCTCACAGGAGATGCTGTCTGATTTTTCTCTCCCTGGAACCCCCATACCTTGTGTGGTTTACCAGAAAGGCTGGCTAGTTGATTTCATGATAGGTCCTCCCAGGCCCAGCATGCTGGCTCAAACTTTTGATCCTTCTGCCTCAGCCTCCCAAAGTGCTGGCATTATATCCTGCTATGTTGCTTTGTTTTGTATGCAAGTTAGTGAGGATTCGTGTTGAGGATGCTGTGTTTGCTTAGAACAAAGCAGAACAGGAAATCTGATTTGACTGAGGGTCAGGGCTGATGGAGCCCTGCACAACTGCTTTGAGAGATTTTTTAGAGAGAGAGAGAGAGAGAGAGAGAGAGAGAGAGAGAGAGAGAGAGAGAGATCCAGCTGAAGTGACATGTTGGTCCCTTTCCACCACCCTAACAAATACCTGTGATAATCAACTTACAAAGAGGAAAGGTTTGTTTGGGCTCAGAAGCCAAGGGCCCTCCCTCTTCAGGGTTCCACAGCCTCAGGTGGCCCAGCTCTGGGTAATGAGTCTTTAACGCCTGGGCCTTGGGAACACCCCAGACCCAAGTCACAGCATTCTGCCTTCTGCCTTGTCTTTTAGCTGCCCCACAGGCTTCTGTGTGCCACCTGCCTGGCTGTGCCTTGCAGCTACCAGCATAGATTGCCCTTTCAGTGCCCCACAGTGACAGCTAGGACTGTGCTCCCTAGACTCTGTGACCATTTGGGGACACTAACATGGGGTTCCAGGTGCAGCTGCTCCCAGAAGTCACCAGCCCAAGCTTGGCACAGGGACCCTGTGTGGCCAGCAAGTTTCACTTTACCCCAGACACTGCAGCCTTGATCAGAACCCTCAAATCTGGGACAGGCCCTGGGGTTAAAACTGTTCTCAAAGGGAGCTGGCACTGCCACTTCTCCACTGGCAGGAGTGCAGCAGGCTGCTTTTGATGGCAAGGTCACCATGATCGTCCTCTTGCCCCTGCCCACTAGCATTTCAAAAATAAGTCAATAAATAAATACTGAGTCATAGTTTAGCCTCAGCCACTCAGAGGATGTGTCCCTGATGTGTGAGGACACGGGTCTTGCCAGCCTTGAAGGACACTTTTCTGTAAGTATGTCCAAGGTCTCCCAAGATTTCAGAGAAGCCAGCTGAGTCTTGAAGGAGCTAAATATTGGGCAGAGAATACAGCTGTTTGCTGGACATGGAGTAAAGCTCACAGTTGGTTGTTGCCACGGGGGGCTTATGGGACAGTGTCTGGGGATTGTTTGGATCTGGAGAACTGACCCTGAGTTACAAGAATAGAGAGAGACACCAAAGTCCTTCCATGTCCACCGCAGCAGGACAGGTGTTATGGATTTGAAGCCAGAGCTAGTTAGCCTCTTGGGGAGATTGGAAGATGTCTGTTAGGAATGCTGCAGGTTGCAAGTAACATAATTGCCTCCAGAAAACAAAAACTCTCACTTGTTTTCTGGAGGCAATTTGAATGATATCCTGCAACAGGCAGAATTAGACCTTCCTCCTCCTCCGCGGAGCTTGTCGCAATGAACTGCCAAGAGAGGCTGGCACCAAAAGATATTTACTTATCCATTTTTAAAGTAAACATTTTATCTTGGGATCATTACGAAGATAACAGATTTCTCACAGACCCTTTATCTTGTTCCTCTACTGTGAACATTTTATGTCACCTTGGGCTGTTCATCAGAACTCAGAGACTAACTTAGAGTACGATTAAATCAAAGTGTGGTCTTTATTGATTGGGAGTTTGCTAGTTTTTCCATTCATGTCCTTTTGCTGTCCCAAGGTCCCATCCAGGGCGCCATATTACCTGTAGGTTATTTTTCACTTAACGAGAAGTTCCTGAGGCACAGGTGGTCTCAGAGTCCATTACCCTGACATAAAGACTGTAACCTCTGACTTCCCTGAGCTGAGACCCTGCCTCCCCCCCATCCTGGGCCACATCCACTTCCTCGGAGGAAGCCCTTCAACAAGGCCAGGCCCCTGCTGAGCTCAGCCCTCTGCCATTTCCTTCACGAGAACCTCACCACCTCAGTGACCGCCTCGTGGCTCTCAATGTGACCCTTTTTCTCCAATGTGTCATTTCCCAAAGGCTCCTGAAAATAACCCAAGAACCACTCACAAACCAAACCAAACCAAACCAAACCAAAACAAACTCTCCTGCAACCCCAAACCACTACCCACTTCTGCCCTTCTAGAAAATTCTGGAAGGACTTGACTATGTTTTCTGTTTCTTCCTAAGGCAAGTGCTATCTCCATTTCTACTATCAGTGTTGGGAGCAATGTCCCCACCACCAACTCTCCTTTCTCTGGGCTACCAGGACCCCTGACCTCTCTAAATCTAATGGCCCGCCTCAGCTTCCAACCAGAGATGCTGCATCTGTAACACTGTAAACACTGAGCTCCTCAGCAGGAAGTGGCCTCCAAATGCAAAGACCATTAGTAGATCCCTTGAGGATGGTGGTTCCTAAATCTATCAGTCCAATGCCCATTTCTTTTCCTTTCTTTCTTGCTTCCCTCCCTCCAACAAACATCTTACAAGTTCTCAATGAATTTTGACTTAGGTATACACTGACCAATGAGATAAGGATAGAAATAATTCTAGAACCCAAGGGCTCCCCTGGGCCCCTTTCCCATCCAGCTATCTAGCATCCTGGGTTCATTTTGCCTACATAGGGAGCTGTGTGTAATATCCTCTGCCGAATGTACTCTTCCACCTGGCTTCTTTTGTTCCACATCATCGACAAACCACCACTTTTCACCAGTAAACAAATACTCTGCTACAATCCTGAGATGCAATTCACGGATGGCACAGTCCTTTACCCTTATTCTTTCAAATTGACATGATGCTTAAATGTGAAGGGGAAATTTAAGGAAAGCCATTTACACAACAATTCAATTGATTCTGACATGTCAGTGTTCTGGTGTACAGCAGGGTCATCAAACTGTGTCTACAGAGGCCTTGATGGCCGATGGTTAGGCTTTGAGAGCCACGTGGCCTGTGAGGAAACCATAACTCTGCCAGTGTAGCCTGAAGTCCCTGGCCAGACAGTGATAAATAAAATGAGCAGGGCTGTGTTCCGATGAAACTTTATTTATAAAATAAGCACTGGGCCAGAGTCAGCCACAGATGTAGTTTGCAGACCCCCCACTAAAGACTAATTCAGGCTTGTGTGCTCCTGACTCAGAACCAGGCCCGGGTAGTGCTGATTTCCAAAATGGTGACAACTCTCGGTGAAGTTCCAAAAAATCACAGAATGATTTGCTCTTGATTTATGCCATGACGCAATCACTGGATAATTTAGTGTCTATTAGAGCTGAAAAATAAATAGTGTTCACATATGAAAAATAGTTTGGTTACAGGTACGGAAAAGGGTAACTTTTTTTTATCTCTATGCTGGGAACCGGGAAGTTACAAGGGCTGGGGACAAGTCTGGTACTGTCCCAAACTCTATAGGGTGTGTGGCGTTGGTGATCCGCCCACTAAGTGTGGGTAGCGCCCTAGTCATTGCAAGTGCCAAACGGTGCTTGTGCTTGGGTACAGAAGGCCCCTCGAGGACAATGCCGTTTCTGGCTGCTACAGAGCCGGGCCTAAGGGAGGCAGAATTTGTGTCCGCAGGTGATGAAACTCAGGGCCACAGGTGGGAGCAGAACTCAACATTGTCTCATTTTACTCTAAACTAAGATTAAGTTCACGGAACAGGCACCGGAAAGTTAAATCACACTCCTCTTTACAACATGAGGAAAAACTATCGGAGGCTTCCCTCTAGTCCACTTCAGCGGTGAACTGCAGAATCTGTAACCCTGCGGATGTTAACTCACTCACGTCTCTTCTCTCTTTCAGATTCTTCAGATAGAAAAAAAAATCCAAACCCAAAAACAGATCTTCGTAAAAATACAAGAGGCCAGTAACCCCCGGAAACTGCAAAAACAGATTCACATTTTAGAAAAGCGTTTGAATCTGGTAAGGCGTCCCGGCAGCTCCGCCCCTTGGCTCAGGACACGCCCACTCCCGCGGTTGCCCCGGGAGACTCACAGGCTCCCCGAGGCTGCTGCGTGCGCGTCCCCTCCTCCACCTCCCCCAGCGCCCGCCAAGCCTGCGGTGTCTGCTCTGAATTGCCTGCCTGAAAAAGTGGTAGAGCGCAGGCTTAGCGGGCGTGAGGCCCCGGGTTCAGTCTTCAGCACAGCACCAAACTAAACAAAAACTCTCGCTTGTTTTCTGGAGGCAATTTGAATGATATCCCGCAACAGGCAGAATTAGACCTTCCTCCTCCTCCGCGGAGCTTGTCTCAATGAACTGCCAGGCACACAACCTGCAGAACTTGATCTTGGGGAAGGTGATCTTTTCACACTGGATTTTTAGTGACTTGTCCATTAAGCCGTTGAATTCAGAGCCTCACACATGCTGTACAGGCTCTCTATCCCAGAGCTCCATTCTCCACATCTTTTTAAAATTTTATTTTGAGACTGGGTCTCCCTCAGTCGCCCAAGCTGGCGTGGACCTTGCAATCCTTCTGCCTCAGCCTCCCATAGTTGGGATTACAGGCATGCACCGCCATGCATGGCTTCAACTAGAATCTCTCAGTTGCAAGCTGGCTTAAACAAAACTAGTAACAGGGGAAAGTTCTAGGACTGAATTTTTCCTAGGACTGAAAAATTCAGAGGCAGCAGGTGTGGCTATAACCAGGTGCTCCAGGCATGGTTTTTTTGGGTGACACCTCTGTCCATCCTCCTCTGGGTAAATTTCATTTTGGGGGTCTCCCATGTAAATTAATGGAGCAGAGAGGGAGCCTGTCTTTCCAGAGTGTTCAGTTCCATGTCCCAGCGAGGGTTCCCACTGGACCAGCTCGGGTCTGTGCCCATCTTGAATCAGTTGCTGAGTGGCCCTGGACCCATGTCCCCACCCCAAGTCAGGGAGGTGAAAGCACATCTCCGTCCACACTGTGGGGACAGAGAGCTGGCCAGGGAGGGCTTCTGCAAGCAGGAAGAGCGGAGAAGGCTGCCGGGGAGGGCCATCTCACAGTCAGCCTGGCCGGCGTCCCTGCGGCTCCCCCACCGGAGCTGGAGAAGGGCGCGAAGTGGCCTGGAGCGGCCGGGCACGGCGCACTGCAGAGCTCCTCCGCAGCAGCTGCCCTCACCCTGACGCCGGCTTTGGCCAGGAGGGGCGAGCTCACTGGGTCTGCCTGGAGCAGAGCAGTGTCTTTTAACAACCCAGGCGGTGATTTGCAGCTGTGCCCAGGGTGCGTGTGAGGATTCAGGGTCTCCGTCTGTCCTCTCCAGTGTTAGTGAATCAGAAGCCCCCAGGGAAGTGGTCCAGCATCTGCTGTGCACTTAAGCAACCACAGGGAGACCCAAGGCCCCAGCGTACAAATAGAGTGAGTCCCTGACATGGTGAAGCCTACAGTGGGGCTTCTGTTGATTGACTGAATGAATTACTAAATGCATTCCTGATTGAATCACGACTTGCCTGTAGAAATTGCTTTTTTATTATAGATCTATTCAGAATATCTTTTTCTTCCTTTCTTAATTTCTTTCTTTCTTTTTTTTGAGATGAGATCTGGTTAGGTATTGCAGGCTGGCCTTGAATTTACAATGAGACCCCTGGCTGGTCTCAAACTTGTGGAGCTCTTCCTGCCTCACCCTCCTGAACACTGGGATCACATAAATTTTTTTGTCCATTCCTCAATGGACACTTAGGATGCTCCCATGATCTATAATATTGCATACCTGGGCACGGTGACACGCACCTATAATCCTAGCATTTCAAGAGGCTGAGGCAGGAGTATTGCTGTGAGTTTAAAAGCAGGCAATTTAAACTACCTTGTCTCAAAAAATCAAAATAACAACAATAACAATAATGTTTCAGAGATTACAAGAGTATGGATATCTTCACAAGGTGCTGATTTCATTTCCTTTGGGTACATACCTAGAAGATAATATGTAGCATGCTATCTTTAGTTTAAATTTCTTTAGAAACCTCCATACCATTTTTGATAGTAATTGCATCTATCTACAATCCTACACCTACAGTGTGAACAATTCCTCCTTTTTTTTTTTGACATAGAGTCTTGCTATGTGGCTCATGCTGGCCTTGAACTGTCGGAGAGGCTCCTGCCTCAGCTTCCTGAGTGCTAAAATCACAGCCATGCACCAGCACACCCAGTTCTTCCTTTTTAAAAAATACTTTTAAAGGACTAAGGCAGGGGCTAGGAGTATAGCAGCTCAGTGTGCAAGAGGCCCTGGGTTTGAGCCCAGTGATGTGGAAAAAAAAAAAAAGACAAATTTCTTAAGACACACAGAGAAAGGGAATAAAAAAAATGAACACCTGCCTCTTACTTGATTTTTTTTAAATACACTTTAGATACACGTACTGTGACGTTCATCCCAGGGGACTTGTACCTGTACATGGTAGATCTTTGCTTTTTTTTGCCTCTGCTCCCTTCGGCCCCTCTTCCCTTCCTTATTACAAAAGTTTTTTTTCCATTTTATTCCCTTTTTTTCTTGTTTCTCCCCCCTCCAACTCGTTCCACTCCTCACTTGAACATTTTCTTCCCATTCCCCAGCGTCTGTTACTGGACACTTTGGTCCTTATTTATACTGTCAGTTTCTCCCCCAGAAATACCGTGCGGTAATTTGCACGTGTACCCAATTTATTTCACCTGAGAGTACGGTCTCAAATTGCACCCATTCAGCTAGAAATGTCTCAAGCACATCCTTCTTTATGGCAGAGTAGTTTAAAAAGCCACATCCTCTCTGGCCTTCATCTGTTGATGGGCATCTGGGTTGTTTCCAAGATTCAGCCATTACAAACTGTGCCGCTGTAAACACGGGTGTGCAGGCACCGCGGTGGGGAGCTTTTAATTCTTTCAGAAAGGTAGCATGAGGGGAAGAGCTGAGTTGAATGGAAACTGTAGTTTTAGTGTTTTGAGGAATCTCCGCCGTGGTTGCACTGGTCTGTACTCCTACCAATGTGGAGAAGGGGTCTTTTTTCCCTGCAGCCCCCCAAGCATTTATTGGTTGATTTCCTGATAACCAGCCACTCTTTCTGGAGTGAGATGGAATCTCAGCATGCTTTAACTGGCATCGAGTGACAAGTGATTTTTAAATATATTTATTTGCTGTTTCTACCTCATCTGGGAAGTATCTGTTCATTTCGGATGCCCATGTTTGGATTGGGTCTTTACATTTGGGGGATGTGATTGTTTTTGAGTTCTTCGTATATTCTAGATATTAGTCCTTTATCTGAGGAATAGCTGGGAAATCCTGTGGGTGTCTATTACTCCGTTGGTGATTTGTGTTGCTCTGCAAAAGCTTTTCAGTACGATGAGATCCTAGTTGTTGATTCTTTGTGATACTTCTGTGCAGTCGGGGTTTTGTTCCTGTCTTTTCCTATGCCAGTGTCTGCAAGAGTTCTACCTGTTCTATCTTCCAACAGGTTGTTTCTGTATTAATATTTAGATCTTTGTTCTATTTCAATTTTAGTTTAGTGCGCGGTGAAAGATATGCTGGTCTGTGTGGGAACCATGTGAAAAGTCAGTATTCCCAGTGCCATGTATTAAAGAGGCTGTCTTCCTTCCACTGAAAGTGTTGGGCTCTTTTGTCAAAGATAAAGTGCTGGGGCTGGGGATTTAGCTCAGTGGCATAAGCACCTGCCTTGCCAGCGGATGGTTGTGAGTTCGATCCCCGGCACCGATTAAAAAAAAAAAAAAGATAGTGCTGAGTGTGTTTGGAGTTATTTTTGCATCCTCTAATTGGTCCTCAGGGTTTTTTCTTTTGTTGTTGTTGTTGTTGTTTTTGGCTTTTTATTTTGTTTTGTTCTTTTGTTTTTTTCCAGTACTGTGCTGCTTTAATCCAATAGCTTTGTAGTATAATTTCAAATCAGGGATTCTGAGGTCCCTTGAATTTGTCTTTGTTGCACAGAATTGCTTTTGCTATTCTAGGTCTCTTCTGGTTCTAAATTAATTTTTGGGGTTTTCTCCAATTCTGTGAGATATACTATTAGAATTTTGATTGGGATTGCACTGAATCTGTAAAACAATTTTGGAAGGATGGCCATTTTCACATATTGGTTTTCTACCCAAGAACATGGGATATCTCTCTGTTTCTTTTCTTTTCAGTTTTAAAACATATTTAATGTAATTTTATTTATTTTTATTTTAAAGGGAGTAAAACAGAATGATAAAGCAAAATGAAACAGGGATTAGACAGTAGGAAATCCACAATCATTAGCATATTGCATGTTGTTATTCTGTAAATAGTTGCTCAGACTACCAGCTTTAGGCTTGCAAAGTCAATCAAACAATACACTTCCTTCAAATCAGCCGGTTGCTTACAGGATGGGCTGGGAGTTCTTTTTCTCTCCCTGGCCTGTGTGGGAGCTCATGGTGGGGAGCGGTGTGTGTCTGTGCACGGCTTTCCTGGTCCTCCTTGGCCTGCACGCTAGCTGGCTCACAGGCAGGACATAGCTTCACTCCTGGTTCTCCCCAGTCTGCACTCTGGCTGGCTCACAGGCAGGGGTGAGGCTCCATTCCTGGTCCACATGTGGGTGGCTCACAGGTGGAGGTGTAGCTTTCTTCTTGGTCCACCCTGATCAGCATGCTGGCTGGTTCACATAGAGGGGCATAGCTTTGTGGTCCATGCTCCCTCTTTCCATTTTCTGACATCCCTTTTTTTAAAGAAAAAAAAAAACAGATAAAGGGTAGAAATTATACTAAATTCAAAAAAAATAAACGGTAAGAAATCACTAGTTGATAATTAAGTATTGTCTTCTCAGAAATAGTTGTTCAAGTTACAAAAGTGAAGCATACAAAGTGGACATTCAAACAGCGAGACTACAAATAGTTCTGTTTAACTATCCAACAAAAACTTAGTAATATGGTTATCAATCCTATACACTTAAACATACATGCAGTTATATCTTTTAGAGCGCTTTCTTTTCCTCTCTTTTTTAATAAAAGCAATTAC